GATAGATAGATAGATAGATAGATAGATAGATAGATAGATAGATAGATGGATGGATGGATGGATGGATGGATGGATGGATGGATGGATGGATGGATGATGGATGGATGGAAGGAAGGAAGGAAGGAAGGAAGGATGGATAGATGGCTGGATGGCAGGCATGATGTCACACACCTCTAATTTCAAAACTTGGGATGTAAAGATAGGAGCATTAGGTGTTCAAGGCCAGCTAGCTTTATATCAAGATCAAGCCTGCCTGGGTTCCATGAGACCCTGCCTCATTAACAACATCAGTAAAATTTTGGCATGACATCTTTTATTAATAAGAACCGTATATCAAAATCAAATATTTCATGGTTTTTAGAGATACCATTGTCAGTTGTGATACAAAGGGAACCCCAGTCCCTGAGTAGCCCTCTAACAGTCGCTGTAATTATTAACTAGTAAGATTTGATCAGTGTTTCCTTGGTGAATGAACTATCTTGGAAAATAATGATGATAACATTTTACCTAGCCAATAATGTTCGTAATCACTGCTTTGCAAGCATTCTCCACGCAACTATCATTATAGGTACACAACACTGCCATGGAAAGGACTACTACACATGGCTTGGAAGTCCTTTGCTTTGGCTTAAAACTTATGCAAAAAATCCTGGTGTGTGGATAACTATAACCTCCACACCCCTACTTCTTCCAACATCTGCCCCAATAAACCAAAACCTCACGGCTGACCAGAGGAGGTCCTGCGTTTTCATTTTCCCTGTGCCTCTGGTGTGTGCTCACACTCTCTGAGCACCCTACCCCTACTCTCAGAAACTCAGTTTGGGGCATCACTTAAGAACACCGGCTGCTCTTCAAGAGAAACTGGCCTAGGTTTCCAACACCATACGGTATCTTGCAACTGTCTCTAACTCCAGTTCCACGAGATACAACCATTCTTGTGATCTTCACAGGGTACCAAGCCTACATATGTATAAAGGCAGGCAAAAGGCTCATATGTACTGATTAAATAAATGTAAAAAAAAAACACCACCTGTTTACAGAAACTCAGTTTTAAGCAATTCTGCTTTTAGTAAATTTGACAGCACTTAAAAATTGATAACCAGGGATAGAGTTGTAGCTCTTTAGCAGAGTACTTGCCTAGCTTTCATCTTGTCAAGTTTGATCCCAGCACTGGAAAAGGGGATATTTGTAAAAGTTTTATATAGAAACATTTCCTCCCAGTCAGGGAAGGCCTACTGACTTGGCATCATCATCTCCACTAAACTCTTCATTCTGAACTGTACAAATGAAAGCTATCTGTCTGAGAAATAATCATTTGTGATAATTTCATTTAGTCAAATATTTTTGAATACATTTACTCACAGTGGAAGGCTTTACAGGTTAAACAAAACAAAACAAAACAAACAAACAAACAGTGCAGGCAGGCTAACCTAACCCAGTTCATCTGTGAAATGAGAATGGCCCCACTCTTATTCTTTCCACTACTTTCACTGGTGGTAAGGAAATAATTGGTGGTTTCATCTGGTCCTGCCCTTAGTGTTTCCTGGCTACCGAATAATCCTACTTACTATCTTAAAGATCCCACAGCAGGACAGAGCCTTCCTAACTGTACCTTTCACTGGCCCATAGAAACAGCCAGTTGTCTAGGCCAGTGCAACTGAGAGCTGGACAGCAGCAAAATAAGAACCATGTATCCGACTGAAGCACTGGACTACTCTCTCTCTACAGAAAGTCTTGCTTCAAAAGGTGAAAATGTTGCTAAAGTAAATGGTAGTGTTCTTCAGTGAGAGAGAGATGGCTTCCACTTTGGGTCCAAGCTCCTAATCTGACTATGCACTGCTATAGGCCACAGAGGGGCAGTCAGTGAACACGCAGCTCCTCTGAGTAGCACGGGGGTTCTGCCCTGCAGGTTGTTTCGGTCACAATTCAATGCAAAACAGATGGATGCTAGCACAAAGTTCTAACAATATGGACTTTTTCCTGAGGTATTTTAAGCCATTTTATTCTTAACAAACCCTGAAAACAGAGCTGACTGTTTTTAATGTATCAGTCCAGCAAGAGAAGACTGAAGAAAAAGTGCTTGGGCACAAATCACCTGGTCAACATGAGTGGCCAAAGCCAGCACAGGTTCTTCATTTCTCAGCCACCAAGAAAACTGTAAAACAGACTTCAGAGAGATCTCACCTTTAGTGATACTGAGTGTGTTGTCACCACTTGCCACAAAGTCATAAAGTGCAACAAAGAGGTTAGGGTCGCTCTCAGTGGCTCCCAGCAAGTTCTCCTTGGAGCTCCACCTGATGGCTTCATTCAGTGCCTGAGATTCAGCGTCACAGCCATAAGGGCGGTGCAAAACTTCTGAAAGACATGAAAACAGAAAGGAGTCCAGTGAGCCAAACACCTAAGAATTCAGAGTGCAAGGGAGCCATTTCAAGTGCTCTGGTCATACTGAGAACTATATAGTTAGAAATAAGCCAGGAGTTAGTTCAAGGTTATCCTCCACTGTACAGTGAATTAAAGGCAAGCCTCTACTTAAGACTCTATCTCAAAAGACAACATACACACAAAGAGTAAGCAAAGGTGCTGAGTTTCCTGGGCTCAATGGCAGCAACTGACTTGTTGAAACTCTAATACTGTAGTCAGAGGAAAGACCACAATCAGAGAAATTAGTTCTGGTTTATAAGCACTCACCTAAATCAGACCTAAATGAAGAGCAAGGGTGCAGTTCTCTAAAAATGAGAAACACAACATATGAACAAGTGCTTACTATCTCCTCTGCTAATGACTTGCAGCCTTTTGAAGGTGGGTTGAGTCAGAGTCTCAAACTACACAATGGCCCGTCTCAAGCTGCTATGAAGTGGAGGACGATGGCCTTACACCCCTGATCCTTCTGCCATCTACCTCTCAAGTGCTAGGATTACAGGAGTGTTGGTCACACCTGGCTAGCGTAGTGATGACCTGGAATATGGACGGTAAAGTCAAGAAACCCTTCTAAGCTAGGTGTCTGCATACGCCTTCACATAAACAAACAAATTAGAGAAAGTTTCTCAAGAAATATCTTATAAATCCAGATCCTCTATTTACAAATAACAAATACAGACACAATCTTTCTTGCAAGGTAAATCCCGATGCTCTCTGATAAACAGAGCCAGGCATGATCTGAGTCAGGCATGGTAGCTCACACCTGTGACCTATCACTCAGGAGGCTGACAACAGCCAGGAGTTTGAGACCAGCCTAGACTACACGTTGAGAAAAGCAAGACTTACCTTATCTCTCAAAAACAGTAAAGAAAGAAAAAGAAACACATTTTAATTTAATACAAAGTACTGTTTGCATCCAAAAAAAACCTTCTTATAATAGCTTACAATTGTTCATTTTTTTAATTTTTTAAAAACTCTCAGCGAATTTCCTGAGCAGATTTTTGTAAACTATTAGTAACTTGATCAAGGTTCTAGAAAATATCACCAATATACTTTTGAGTTTCAGTTATGTACACCAGTTAAGGTCTTGTAAAATCTGTTTCTTCCCCAAGGCTTTATAGTTTCTAAATCTAATCCTGTACCAATTTGTTAAAAATTACCTGATTCTCATACTCTAGTTTGGTTATACAAAACAAACCAACACATCAAAAATAACAAAACCCAAACAGACAGAAAGAAACCCCATTGTTCTTTCAATAGCAATCTCTTTGATCCAAGGAACTGTTAAGTGGCTGCTTGCCAAGGCAGATGATCCATCGGTCTATGTCATGTAGTATTTCTTTCTTATGTCTCTTTCTTAGTTTATTTACAATTGATTTAGCCATATTTAAAAGAGGTAAAAAGCTTTGCATCTGTGGTTTCATTTGTTTCAAGTCATCTCCTCTTCTCCTTCAATGCCTTTGTTCAGATTCCCAGCAGATCTCACCTGGGCTACTGCCTCCAGTCTTGTCTCCCTCAAATCCATCCTCCACACAGCTGGCAAAGTGATCTATTTAAGACAAAAATTGGACCATATCACTCTTAAGCCCCTTTAAGAGTTCACCATCAAACTCCTGTTTCCACAGTCCTGGCTTTCAAGCCCTTTCATGAGTAAGGTAGACCTGCTTCTCAGCTTCACCTCTCCCCACACCACACCTCAAACTGTAAGCTTTACTGGCGTTGCCTCCCACATCCAGGCCTTTGTTCATACAATCCATTACACTTACACCTGTAATGGCTTTTCCCGCTCTTCCTCTGAGTGTCTGTGCACAGTAGGTATACATCTGTGTGTATGGAGGCGAGAGGACAATGTCACTGCTGTTCCTCAGGAGCCATGCACCTTCTTTTCAAACCAGGTATGTCTGACTGGCCTAGGACTCTTCAAGTAGGTTAGTTGGGCTGCCTCCCAGCACTGGAATTACAAGTATTTCTCCATGCCAGCTTTTAAAAACATGGGTTCTAGGGATCAAACTCAGGTCCCCATGCTTGAAGGCAACTACTTTACTGAGAGACCCATTTCCCCAGTCCCTCTTCCTACTCTTCTCTTGACTGGCTGACTCCTCACTTTTCAACATGCAGTTCCCCTGTGAATCTGCAGTGTCCCCCGAGAAGCCAAACAGGCATTTCCTCTGTGTGCTCTTGATAGAGCACTGCATTGATCCCTCCTCTCCAGATTTCTTTCCCAACCTCAAAATGTATTTAAGGATAAGAATCACACTTCCCACCAGAGGTTTCATAATCTGTACTCAATAGTTAGTTGCATGATACCCACCTCACACAAAAATGTAACCCACAGAAAACAATGAAAAGTATCTTAATCTTAAAATCCATTAACTGGATTAGTATGGTGGTGCACACCTTTAATCTCAGCATCAGGGAGGCAGAGAAGGCAGATCTCTGTGAGGTCCAGGTTCCATGCTATTCAGAGCTATAATGAGTACAGAGTGAGACCCACGCCTACATGCCTACACACACACACAGTTTCAAACAAACAAAACACCAAAGCAAATAAAACTACCCATTAACTAATGATTAGAAGTCGGTTTTCTATAGCATTCAGAAGATGCTGAAACCAACTTAAACCCAACAAAAGTAGCAAATGAGTGTATCTGCCTTCTTTTGTGAAACCCAGCATCTTCAAAGTTAAGATCCACAAAGCTAATCTAAGGAAACAAACAAGTGGTATTGTGCATGGATTCCAAACACAAAGGCCAGAAAGCACCAATGACACTGGAATTTACCAAGCAAAGCTGCTCTCCAGTCCACAGCTAACTTCCAATCTGCTCCTTGCGTCAGATCTCTCAAATCTTTTCAGGTGCTACAGCCACAGACTTTGTGACCATGCATGACTCTATTCTTACTCTCAGAAAACACCTAACAGACCAGAGAAATGGCTCTGGGAAATACCAAAGGTCCCTGCTGCCAAGCTTAACAGCTGCAGTGGTGTTCTCACACCCCACATGGTGGAAGAACAAACCTATTCCTGCAAACTCTCCTCTGACCTCACGTGTGAATGTGTGTATGCACACACATACGAATTAATGTAAAATTTTTTTGTTTGTTTTTAAGATAGGGTTTCTCTGTGTATCCCTGGCTGGCTTTTAACTCAGAGATCCTCCTGCCTCTGCCTTGCAAGTGCTGGGATTAAAGATGTGCACCTCAACGGCTACCACCATCACCACCACTGGTCAGCTTACAAATAATTTTAAAGCATCCAAAATCTACCCATTTCTCCCTTTTGATCTATCAATCTCACCCTTTTCACTTCTACCAACACTTTCGCTAGGCTACTGATTTCTATATATCTATATTTGTTCCTTTTAAAGCTTTTCTTTTTTAAAAAAAAGGTCCTATTTTGTAACTCTTATGTTTAAAATTCTTGACTGGTCCCAATTTAAGATTAAAAAAAAAAAAATCCTTAAAGAGCCTCTGAGGTACCTCACACTTTAATTTGCCCAGCTCTTCATTTTTTTTAAGGCAGGGTCTCACTATGCAGCCCTGGCTGAAGGCCCACCTTCCTCTCCTTTTCCCGCTCCTGAAGTAGAGGTGTGCACCATCACTCTGAGCTTGATTTTTTTTTAAGTGTGTGTATCCACTGTATGTCTGCACTTGTGTATGGGTGACCATGGGGGTGAGAGGAGAGCATCAGATCCATTGGAGCTGGAGTTACAGGTGTCTGTAGCCACCTGGTGCTGGATCTGAACTCTAGTCCTTGGCTGGAGTAGGGAGTACTCTTGAGCACAGAGCCCCTCTCCAGCTCTAGTGCACTTTCTCTCCCAGCCTTGCTTCATGCTGACCATACCCTCCTCCTACTGCCTAAACAGAGCAGATTTAAAAACCCTGCCTTTTCCCCACTCCCCTTTCTTCTGCCTAAAATATTTGTCCCAACAACATTTCACTCAAATGTAACTCTCTGAGGATGACATTTTCTGATGATCCTATTCTAAAGTGCATTGCCTCTAACAATATTTCCCAGGTTTCCTTTCCCAATTTAGTCCCCACAGTTTGGTCCACAGCTTACATACATTATATATGCATGCATGTTGCCCAACTCTTATGGGTGCAATGTTTTATGAGGGCAGGAATTTTCTTATTTGTTCATTGAGTGGTGAACAATGCAGCCATCCCCACCCCCAAAGTGTAAGGAGGCTTTTACAAAAAAGATTTTTAAAACCAGGCATGGTGGTGCATGGCTGTAATCCCAGTATCCCTGAGGCTAAGGCAGCAGAGTCTTAAGGCCCACATCAGATATAAGTTTACATAACACAACAAGACCCCATCCAGAGCAACCAACCAACATACAGCAAAAGGTTTACTTTTTTATCCTGGCAAACACTCAGCAGGGACACTAGCAGGAGCAGTAAACCTTCTGGATCCCATGCAGCTCACATCACACTGGGCACCCCTTTAAATATGATGAGCAAAATGTCTGCAGGCCAACTGTCAATGCACAAGGAAATATCTAGACACGTCTGCTCTGGGGAGGTACCCCAGACCCCACAGAGGTTTTCTTAAAGCCAAGTTACTACCTTCAAGAACATGTTATTTGATAAAAGAGAAAAATGGAGCTCACAGAACAATTTTGTGTAAATTTAAAGCTATGGGAAGAGTTGGGGGAGAATAAATATAATCAACACACACACACACACACCTCTTTAATTAAAAAAAAATTAATAAAAGCCAACCAATGGCACATAACTCTTAAATGAAGTAAAAAGCACAGGGTAAATACAGTGCTTAAGGAAAAAGGCCAAGAAGAAGCCAAGCCAAGGGGACGGTCTTTCTGTTCCCAGCCTGTCCCGTCTCCGGCTGTTACAGATCTTCCTTCCTTCTTTCTTCCCACTCACTTTTGTTTTTGTAGAACAAGTTCCTGTCCAATCTGTCTGTACAGGATATCCACAGAAAACACTGTCCTACCCACTAGCACCAAACAAAGTAAAAATATCTTCAAATAAAAACGTCCTAATTCTTCCTGAGGCCAAGACTAAGCACGGAGTTAAAGAACAATCTTAGCAGGAAGGCTGGGGAGCAGTGAGTTGACTAAGAGCAAACTAAAAAGCAAAGCAAAGGAGCCCCCAGTCTGTGCTGTGCTTGCCACCGGTTAAGACAGGCAAGACCCTTGAGTCAGATGTACTGCGTCCACATCAACGTCAGTATGTGGTCTAAGTTCTGAACAATGCAAGCTGGCTAACGGAGACAGCAGGGTGACTAATTCTTTCAACGAACCCACTGCTAGAGAGGTAGAACATGGAAAGATGGCAGCAAAGGACCCCAAACTCTATTTACTTGTGTAAAAGTCTTAGGGAGAAGAAATAGTTTGACAACCCAAAAGAAGTAATTTGTTATCTTTTCTATTGATACACTCGCAGGACACCCCCCCCCATACACACACCCCCAAAACAGCAACATACTTAAAATCCAGAATAATAAAACTGAAACAAATTCAAATTTTGGGGGGGGGGATTTGGATATTTAATGTTTAACCTATAAAACACATTTTCAATATTATTCAGTCAGGGTTTTAATTTTTATTATTTTCATTATAAATTAATGAAATTATTTCCTCAAAGTGTTTTCATTATTTTATACTATTTAACATTATATTACTTTGTATATTCTCTAAGAAGCTAATAATTTAATACCTCTTTTTAAAAATATTTTTCTTGGATATACTATTTGGTAGTTTTCAATTCAGCTTAAGTTTTCCAATCAAGACATGTGCATCTAACCTCATTTTACATATAATTCATATTCTTCCATCCCTTAAGTACTTACTAAAGGTCTAGTGGGTAGTGCACACCTTTACTCTCAATTCTCAGGAGGCAAAGGCAGGCTAACCTCTGTGAGTTTGAGGCCAGCCTGATCTACGTAGAAAGCTCCAGGTCAGCCACAAGCCTGAGATCCTATCTCAAACAAAACAAGGCTGAGTGTGGTGGCACACATACTCCCAGCACTGGCAGAGAAGGCAGGCAGCTATCTCTGAGTTCCAGGCCAGGCAGGGTTACATTGTGAGATCCTGGCCCCCCAAAAACCGAAAGGACAAACAAACAAGGCATATAAACCTTCCCTGACCGCAACTGAAGGTAACAGGAACAGATTAATCCACATTTCATTACTGTGTTATCTACACTCCATCCCACCGCCCCAGCCCTCACCTCTAAACATACCTGTCACGTGGGCCACAGGCAATTCTGAGGCCCCCCTGCCTTCGCAGGAAAGCAAGGTGTCCTGGTCTTTTCGGTAACTGGTTAGTGGCAGCTGAACAGGCCCCCAGACCATGCCTTTGGCCAAGCAGTGTCACAGTTAAACTGTTCTGAATAGAGAAGCCTTAAAATTTCTCTCTGGCCAGCACCCCATACACGTGGTACATCACTCACACACTCAGTGGCCAGAAGGAACAGAGGGGCAAGTTCAGCCCACAGGGTGGAGACCTGGGTAAGGGTGGAGCTGCCCCAAACCTCAGGAGTAGGGTGGGGGTGAGACACCAGCTATTTCAGTCACACAACAGTA